CAAAACAATAATGAGATATCTTCTCACCTCAGTTAGAATTGCTATTATCAAAAAGATAAAACAAACAAACAAACAAACACAAAACAAGTCCAGTAAGGATGTGGAGAAAGAGGAATTTTCATTTACTATTGGTGGGAATGTAAATTAGTGCAGCCATTGTGGAAAACAGTATAGAGAATTCTCAAAAACTCAAAATAGAATGACTATATGATCTAACAGTCCTTCTACTGGGTATGCATCCAAAGGAAATGAAATAATTATATTAAAGACACATCTGCACTTGCACGTTTATTTCTGTACTATTCACAATAGATGCAATATGACATGGGTGAAGAAAATTCGGTGTACATATACACAATGAAATATTATTCAGCCACAAAATKACATTATTCTGTCATTTATGGCAACATGAATGGAACTGGAGGACACCATGTGACGTGAAACAAGCCAGGCACATAGAGACAAAATGTTGCATGCTCTCACTCATTTGTGGAAGCCTGAACTTTGATCTCATAAAAGAAAGTAGAAGACTGATCACTATGAGGTCAGGTGGATGAGATAAGGCTAGGAAGATAGGGAAATGCGCCCTGGGCAATTCCCCCTGGGCAGCGGAGCACAAACAACAGCCACAGGTTTTTGCTGAGAAATTTACAAAATGGTTATTTTTAAATAGGGATCTACGTGACCTGGAGTTCATAGGAATTCAGGGCATACGTGACCTGGAGTCTGTGGCCTCTCCAAAGAAGGAAAACACCTGATCAATACTTTGATGAGTGCCTTATCCAGGATTGGGCTGGGTGGACTTCCTTAAACCTATGAGACCCATGTAAACCCTAGACAACAGGCATCCAGTGGTAACCCTCTTGGGTTCCCTCCCAGCCACKGGAGCTTGGCTTCACTTCACTTTCACCCTCGGCTGTCTGTGAATCATATTCTTTAAATGTAGGGGACAAAGAAACCACCTCACTCCACACTTCACATTACAATACAGGGTAAGAAGGTGTGGAAGAGAACGGTTAATAATACCTTACAGTTAGATAGGAAGAATTAGTTCCAGTGATCTGCAGTACGGTAGGGTAACTGTAGTCTACAACAATTTATATTTAAAGATAAGCAGAAGAGTTCAAAGGTTCCCAACATTTAGAAATGAGAAATGTTTGAGGTGCTAGAAGTGCTTATTATCCTMTTTTAATCATTACACATTGTATACGTGTGTCAAATTATCTTATTATGCTTCATAAATATGCACAAATGACTTAACTAAAATAAACATTTTWAAAAAGCTAAAATTTCACCAGGTGTGGTGGTACATGTCTGTAATCCCAGTAGCATGGGAGGCTGAGGCAGTTCAAAGCCTGCCTCATAACTTAGTGAGGTCCTAAGCAACTTCGTAAGACTGTGTCTTTAAATAAAAAATAAAACAGGCTGGGAACGTGGCTTGGTGATTAAGTGTCCTTGGGTTTAATCTCCAGTACCCCTTCTCCCAAAAGCTAASATTTCTTAAATAGAAAATAATGTGCATTATTTATCCTTGAAATATGACATATACTCCCTTTTTTGGGTTKCCAAAGCAGTGGTCCATAACAGGGATAAAAGGAAAAAAAAAAGGCCTACCATATAAATAATAGATATAGAGAAGAAAAGAAACAATAAGGATCAGAGATCAAGGAAATGCAAAACAAAGAAACTAAGAATCAGAGAAGTAAGAATTGTTTCTTTGAAAAGACTAATAAAATAGATAAATTTCTGGCAAGCCTAATCAAGAGCAAAAAAGAAAAGGTCCCAATGGAAAATACTGGAAATGGAAAAAAAGTTCCTAATTACAGATAGTATCCAAATTATTGGATCACTAGTTAAAAATCAATTTACCAAAACAAATATAAAATCAAACAAAATATTGTAAACAAATAGACCAATAAACCTCACCCCAGACCCAGATAGTTTTATGGGTATGCTTTTCCAAACATTGAAGGAAAGAATCCCAATCTTAAACCGACTAACCCAAACTATTGTGTGCTCATAATTTTAATTTTTATCAGTATTTTAAATCTACTGATAAAAATCATAAAAGAAAATCAGTGTTTATGATGTACTTTCAGCCTAGTCGTGAATTAATCTGATAGGTACCCTCACACAATGACTTGACCTTGAGTGTTTTGCTGAGGTCAAAAACACAGCAACTGCAGTGAGAAATCTAAAGCATACCCCATGGGAAAAGACAAGAAAGATGGTTTTTCTTCCCTTATTTTCCCGGACCCTCTTCCAGATTTATCAGTGAGCAATGAGTATGGTTTKCGAGGCTTATTAAAGTCACAGTGCCTGTGTTCAGTAGAAAAGGACTTTCGAATCCTCTCCTGGTCATGACTGTACTAGGTTCCTGGAGCTATGTCTTTCTATATCTGTTCATTTAAAAATCTGTTTGATGTTCTCTTCTGTATTATATTCCAGTTATCTGTTTGCATATATGGTCTCCATAGTATTGGGAATGGAACAGTTGTCTACGTATGTCCTTGAGCTTKCAGGGTTGGGAATCATGACTCATCCAGGAAGTGTCATGGCACAGTACAGGAGGTATCCTTCTTTCATCTTGGACTCAAATCAAGCAGTGACTCTCCTACCTAAGAAGAGAAATACAATCCTCTCCATTACCCAAGAGCAGAGACTGTACTGGCTGGGGGACAGATGGCTCAGACAGATGGCTCAGGCTCTAGAGCGAATGGGCACAGGCCACTTCTGGATTGCCATTTTTATATTTCTTGCTCATTCAAGGATCAGAAATACTTAGCCATTCAAGGCAAATGCAGCTAAAACTAGAGATGTCTGAGAAAGAGCAATGGAGGCCAAATGGAGTAACATTAATACCAAGGACAAATATCACACTCATAGCTCACTGTCAATGTAGAAGGGGCACATAACCTGTATTTTGAAGGTCTTCTCAGGTTTAGCTTTCAAAGATCCATTAGGGGACTTCTGCATGTATAACAAATTWGAATGAATGGATGGATAAATAAATAAATAAATGGGAGGAAAAAAAAAAAGACGCACTAGGGGAAAAAGACCTAATAAAGTCTTAGTGCCTCAATAATTACTTGTGCCTCATATGCTCTAGCCCATTTCCATGATTTGACATTATAAAGATATATAATCACCCCTGAACYAAGCAGAGATTATTTTATTCGTGTAAACTTAAACTAGCTCATGTAAGGCCAAAAGGAAGCTACAGTCACAAATCAAGGCTTAACCAGTGTAGTAATCTCTCTATTAAATTARTTGGGTCATAAATCATACAGTGGGATAGATGAAGAAGACAGTAAGTGTACATTGATTATTGATTCTGTGTGTGATTAAAATATTATAAATGGAATCAATTTCATAAGAGAATGTCTTCAAACAATTTTTATGAACAGTTTCAAGAATTTCTTTCTTTTGAAAGTGATTCATCTAGGGTCTCATCACCTTAAAGTAATTATGCTATGAGAAATGGAGTTCAGAAGCAAATGTTACCTAAAATTATTCCTCAAGCCATATATATTTTAATGGATATATGTGATGAGTACAATTTTGACAATGAATTTTTATTCATTACATAATAACATTTCTACTGTATGTGTGAATTAATTATGTGTAAGTTCATACATACAAATATTTCAGTGGAAAAAATAAACATTTTTACTCTGTTGAGAAAAGCATGATAGAAAACTAAAATAATTTTACAGAAAAAAGTTAAAGTATATTAAGATTTATAAGGAATGATATTTTCACTTTATTTACTTATTTTATTTATTTTTGGTACTGGGGATTGAACTCAGGGGCACTCAACCACTGAGCCACATCTCTGGCCTTATTTTTATTTTATTTAGAGACAGGGTCTCGTGACTTGCTTAGCGCCTCAACATTGCTGAGGCTGACTTTAAACTCACGATCCTCCTGTCTCAGATTCCAGAGCTGCTGGGATTATAGGCATGCACCATGGTGCCAGGCTTTGGCTTGTTTTTAAAATAAGCTATACTGCCATAAATAAATAAAACACTAAGCAATGACTSAATACTTGATTTGCCTTTGAAAATAAATCCACAATTGTTTTTGCAGCAAAGTGCAACTGAAATCATTCTTTTAAATTTTACCTAGACTCAAGAAAGTTTGAGATACATTCTATCTTAGAATTGGGGGGAAAAAGGTAACCTTATAAATGTCGTAGTGGTCAGTTAGGAATATTATATATGTCTAGTCAGTAGAAGTTCTACTCAAAAGGAAAGAGTAAAGATAAAGAAAATAAGTAGCTATATGACTTATATAATCACTTTTCTGAATAGACAAACAAATGATCAAATTCTCATGATATATTTTGGTAAAAGGATTTTTTTTTCCTTTTCATTGGCAAAACAATTATGTGAATTTTAAGTTTTCCTTAATAGGAGAAACAAAATTTTATACATTTGGCCCTTTATTCCATCATATCTATGCTAGTTCTTTTTTGGTTATATTATTCACGTAAATACTTTCTATTAATCATGTGTTACTTTAGTAACAATGAAAAATCAGTAATGTTATTTCCATGTTAGAACAAAAAAAAAAAAATGTACAGTTGAGCATTTTACTTTAATCTAAGGAAGAAAAATGCCTCTGATGGATTTCTGTCACATTCAGAAGTGCCCTGAGAAAGATCTCCACCCTTGACTATTTCCTCTGCTGGAGACTGGAAACAATTCTGATTGAACAGAAAACCATCCACTAAAGAATGTGACTGTCTGTAAAATAACAGGAGGTACCAATAATTTTTGGATGAATATAACCTTGATTCAATGCTCTAAATAAAAAGTATGTTTACACCACCAGCTCTCCCCTCCCCCACTTCATGCCACCAAAGCATGGTGGCATGAAGTCGGGGAGGGACCTCTCAAAGGCTAAAAGAAGTATGAACAGCAGACCATGGAGATAGGAGAGCATAAAGGGCCACGCTGGAGGTTTCACCTGATGTATGGAGTATAGGCTTTACTTACCTTGGCTCTTGGAGATGGTTTTGGCATATCTCTTTCTAGGTCTTTTGTTAAAAGGATGGGTAGAGATTTCTTACAATTGGCCTCCTATAAAAGAAGTATAAAAAATATTAGAGAATAAAGACTGCTTACCCAGAAATTATGAGGTAGTCAAAGCAATAATTAAGAGAGACAAGGCATTTCTACATTGAGTTGTTCACCTGAGCAGCTCATGAGATTGCAGTGAGGTGCCAGGATGTTTCCTCTCTTCTGTGTCCCATAGAACAGTGAAGTGAGATAGGAGGTGACCAAGGTGTGGAACATACAGGACCTATACATTCAGAAGATCACTAAAACCATATCTGCACTGCCATGTCACTTTATCACATCAACACCTGCTATAGGCAGCTCACCTCTTCTTTTGAAAGATGAAGAACTCATTTTCCAAGATATCAAGCAACAGAATTGCTCATGTTCTGATCCTTTATAGTCTTTATCTTAAAGAAATAACTTCAGATAATTTAACAAACTACTACTGAATAGTGATAGGGAATCATACTAATGCCCTAACTGAGGAAAAACGTCTGAGTTCCTATTTCCAAAATGTTTACACTTCTAAGTCCTTGGTTCAAAGCAAAATAATATTTACAAATCTAATGGCAGAAATTGTAAGGAGGTAACTTAGATGGAGTTGGAGAYATTTACACTTTATTACTGTGATAAACAAATTATAATAATCGTGTTTGCTTTGGTTTTCTAATAATGTAGAGTCTCACTTTTGAATCACCATTAACTTGAGAAGTTTACCATTGATGACTTTATTCTGTCTTCAAATTAAGGGATAGAAAAATACAAGGAATATTACAGACAGTCAAGCTAAGGAGAAAGTGAGATTTCTTTCACTTGCTCTATAACCTTYACCCCTGTATTTCATGTCTTCCCCATGCCTAAAATCCAATCATGTAAATCACAGAAGTTTTTAGGTTAATAATTATAAGTTTGAATAAAATTKTAGTCTACATAGTTAACAATGTTACTAAAATTTGCTGGCATTATTATCACTTATTTCTAAAGGGAATAATATGGAGTTAGTATGAAATATCCCTAAAGAAAGCAACAGTCCTGGGCTGGGGTTRTGGCTCAGAGGTAGAGCGCTTGCCTRACATGCGTGAGGCTCGGGGTTCAATCCTCAACACCACATAAAAATAAAATAAAGATATTGTGTCCACTTGTAACTAAAAAATTTTTAAAAATAAAGAAAACAGCAATCCTACTTGCTACTAATGAACATTGAAGCATCTGAGGTATCAGGCTTTGTGCTAAAATCTTGGCATTCATGATGCCATCCTYCCCTGTCCACTAGTCCTGCAAGGTAAGCCCTACAGCCATCATCCCCCTTTTAAGGATAACATAATGAAGCCTACAGAGATAATTAAACTTGCTTATTGTCACAGAGGACTAAAAGATGGTTCTGTATAACTTTAAGGGCTGAGTCCTTATCACCTTTGTATACTGCTTTTCATCTCTGTTATACTTAACATTTGAAACCACTAAATGGTGCAGCTATAGCATTTTAAAGCCAAAAGAGTTTTTTTTTTTTTTTCCAAAGTCAATTAGTCTACCCCCTAATTTTAGAGATGAGGGCTTAGATCTTGAAGTGATATACCCATGATCACATAAGGGGGGATGAGCCTGGACCACAGGGCTGTGCAYGGCACCTGTTCTCGGGTTTATGCTAGGGAACATTCCCAGACGCAGGGGGATCAGGAGCCTCTTCTCAGCCAGGAGTGCTGGCAGCACTCTCAGCTGCCTGTGGCCTCTATGTCAGGGCCCGTGGGACATTTCTGAGATCTCCAAATAAACSTACATTCTGGTCCTACCATTTCCCACCAGTGACAACACCTGCTGGTGGTAAGTCGCTTACTGGAAATAGTGAATGAACCCATTCCCACTTCTGACTCACTGGGAGAAGGATAAATTATATCCAGCATGACATTTCAGAGAGCCAAGTGTTTAACTGCATAATCTGTTGCGTAATTTTGGATAAAACAATTATGCCTAATCCTTGTGCCCCCTCTTTTAAACTACTGATATGTAAATGTTCGAATGTAAAGAGAAGAAGCAAGGATGACTATTAAGGAATTTAGTAGGAGTGGCTAGCCTTTGTTTAGGACAAATGTCTCTAATTCTTTCTTCCTTAGACATACGCTACAAACAACAGTATTAATCCTGTTTTCCTTTTCTGTCCCTGTGAAATAATGAGCAGAAGGCTTACTTCCTAAAAGACTCTGACAGCATTTTCTCTAAGCTTTTATCTGAAAACATCACTCACTAGTTTATTTTTTATTTTATGATTTTTAAATTCACACAACAAAGGCAAAGTGAAGTCTCAGAGATAGAGCACTAAATTGGGAGCCATGATCTGGTCTCTTGCCAGCTATAGGAACGTAGACCACCATTTTAAGCCCTTAGGCTTCCCTTAGTTCAAAGATCTATTTAAAAAAAGGGGGAGGGTAGAGGGAAAGGGATTGGTTTAGAGGGACTCCCAGAATCCTGTCTAGTTCCAAATTTCAAGATTTTATAATTGTTCCAGGAAGAAGCAATGTTTCTTGATAAAAGTCAAGCCACTATCTSTTCAGAATTGCACTCACAATCACCCCCAGAACGCCACTAAATACTGGGCCCCATCCATGTCGTTAGTAGCCAACCATGGGGCTTCAGAGCTGTAGGACACAGGAGACGTCTTCCACGAAGGTCAGAGTTGCTTACTCATATTTTTGGAAAACTGTTAAATAATACCTTAAGTAAATAACARGTACCAATTTAATGCATTAAAAAATATATCATAATGTGAAATATTTTAAAATGTTTGGAAAGTGTACCTTTAAAAATATATGTGTGTACATTTGTACATGCAGGTATTTGTCTAAGACAACAGGAAACTTAAGTCCACACAAAAACTAGGACAYGAATGCTCAGAATAGCATTATTTATAATAGCCTAAAAGTAGCAATAATTAAAATATCCATCAACTGATGAATGGATAAACAAAATATGGCATAGCCACACAATTGAATATCATTGTTATAAAAAGGAATGAAGTACTGATACATGCTAAAACACAGATTAACCTTGAAAACATTTTGCTAAGTAAAAGAAGTCAGATGTAGAAGGACACATATTGTGACCACTCATATGCCATGTCTAGAATAGGCAAATGGGTCTGGTCCTAATGAAGTTTCTTTTTGGGGTGATAAAAMTGTTCTGGAATTAGGTAATGTGATGGTTGCACAACTTYGTGAATATACTAAAACCCAGMAAAATGCACACTTTAAAAGGGTRAATTTTATGATTTGTGRATTATATCAAAGTTTTTTACAAAGCCATTTAGGGCGAGTCCCCACACTCCCGGGGGAAAAAAGAAGAGACCTTCAGGTTTGTGTTCAAACTTTTACCTTAAAAGGACTTCTTTGAAAAGGTTTGAAGGGGGATGTTTTGTGTTTCTAAGTGTTAAACTGTATGTGAGCACAAAAATTCATTCAATWAATATTAACTGAATCCTGTTATGGGCAGCATTCCAGTGCTGGGAACTGGAGAATGGATTGACAAATTGGACGTGAATCTCTCATATAGRGTATATTTACATTGATCTTAAACAAATGGCCTGCTTACATGAGACTTTCGACTGAACTGATTACTCACCCTAATGACTTGTGTGTAACAACCACTTGCTTAAACCAACTGTGTCACAGTATCATAAAAACACCACTTAAAAATACAATAGGGAAGGAAAAATACCTTGTTTATCATGACTTTGCTGGCCTCACTATGCAAGGATTCATGACAYTGTAAAACAGAAAAGCACTCCCTGTTCCTCAGCCTGGCATGCKACCCCACAGCTCTTCCCAGGCTTGCTGCAGGTCTGTCCAGGCTCCCCTGATTCTACCAGAGAAGACTCACTTCCCAGGACTGTTAATCCCCACTGCTCTCCTTCCCACTCATTGCTTTCTATCCTCTACCCTTCCCCCCCCCTTATCTCTTATAAAAACATAACGGCAAATTACACTTACTGGTTTTAATTCTTTACTGTACAATTTATGTTAATCTGTGAGAAGACTTGATCAGTCTGGTCCATGAACATACCCACAGAGTCTAGGTTTAGCATATAGTAGGAGCATCACTGTTGACTAATGAGTAAACTGAATGGATGAATAAAGTCCCTTTTCTAATTTTCCACAACCCCCTCTGCATCCCTTCTGCATATATATATATATATATATATATATATGTAAATATATAAATATTTATATATATATAAATTTACATACAAAATATGTAAATATATAAATATATATATATAGCTGTAGTTGGACACAATGCCTTTATTTATTTATTTATTTGCTTATTTATTTTTTTTATTTTTTAGTTACAGGTGAACACAATGTCATTATTTTATTTATGTGTTGCTGAGGATCAAACCCAGTGCCTCACGCATGCTAGGTGAGCGCTCTACCTCTGAGCCACAACCCCAGCCCTATTTTATTTATTTTTATGTGGTGCTGAGGATTGAAACCAGTGCCTCACACATGCTGGGCAAGCACTCTACCACTGAGCTACAACCCCAGCCTCCTTCCTGCTTTTAATTCGCCTCTTAAGCTGCTTACATTTAAGGGTCATGCTTTCCCTTTTAACACCATTCAGTCCCTTCCTCCAGTCTCTTAATCCTTGCCTTCCTCTCAAGGAAGTACAATCCTTGCTGAATCCAGAGATACACCTTCTCTGTGTGAAGAAWGGAGCACCTGAAAGTAGCTAGGGAAAAATATTACAGGATTGACTGGCTTCATATTCAAATTGATGACCATACCTTGAATGAGTCCTTTCTCATGCCCAGCAATTCCGCTCTACTTGACTTTCTCATCTCCCAGATAGTAGTTCATATCCTGCCCCTTGTCTTTTCTGAAATCCGTCCCCTTTCATTCTCACTTCATACTTCTTTGGGAAAATAAAAGCATGACAGTAGAAACTATCATTGTCCCACCAACAAATCTACAAACCTACCTGCAATCATGCTATCCTCTCTGCTTTCTCTCCTGTCAAAGAGTCTGAAT